TAAAACGGCAATGTCTCATCACAGGGGGCCCGGTCGCGCTGTTAAAGCACACAGCTCTGACCAGGCCCCCTGACAATCCATCTCCATCGGGTGGACCTGAGAGCATGGGCCACCTGATGGACCCCTTGGACGGCGACCCCAGCGGTTTGCTGCGCGGGCCAGGCTGCAAATGATGATGAAATGTGTGATTCCCTGGAGGGGTGGAAATATTAAAAATATTTTAGGTAAAATAGAAATGGAGTGGGTGTACAGACTCCAAACTCTTACACCCCATGGTCTCAATGTAGACTTTGATTTGTTTAATTTTTTATAATTTTTTATAATATTTTTTTATGATACTTCTATTTTTAATTTTTACACACAATCTTCTTTTGTCAGTTGTTTTTTTTTTTATAAGTAGTCAGTACACCTTCCCATATCTATTTTATACTCTACACCCTTTTATTTGTTTTATGTCATATGTTTTATTTGTTCTAATCTTGTCTCCCTATTCATGTTCCCCCTTATTTTTCAACAGCTTGGTCGGCCGCACTTTTTACGTCCCGACAAGCTTCCCATGTTGTCTAGACGACGGCTGCAGCTTTGTGCTCGCCGTCGTCTGTTTACTTGGTTTCCCTGACGACGGCCGCATTCCTGTGCGTGCCGCCGTCGCCCCACCCCTCCTATTGACGTCAGCCGCAATCAGTGTGCGAGCTGACGTCTCCCTCTTACTCTTTACATAGACGCCGGCGGCGGCGCAGTATGCGCCGGCGCCTATACTACCACTCCCATACTCCCCAGCGGCATGGTGCCGGTCACATGACCGTGCACATTAAGTAACAAATATTGAGGTATACTTTCCGTTTTGTATATGCACTAATGCCATAATATTTATAATGAATATATTACTGAAATAGAGTATTGATTTTCCTATTTTTACACTGTTTTATCACTTTATGTTTTAACTCTTTGTTGATTGGCTGCTCACTTTTGGCGCCAATTTTATAGATTTACAGTTGTTATATAAACAATGTTATGCCAGGTTTCAGGTTCTTACCCCATATTGATAACGCCATTGTTGGCGAAACGCGTTTATGGACTTTTAATTGTGTATTTTATATATATTAAAGTATATTTGGTTACTTTTTATCTGTGCCACTTATCCTTTTATACACTCTAATTTATTTACTACCTGGCATTCTCTCAACATCCCGGACTCCAAGATATCCTAGGTGGGGATTATACCACCAGCGCTACGTCAAGGAGCAGTTGTTCTGCTCCCGCCTTGTGAGTACCCATTTTATTTTCATTTATTTTATTACCAACATTTTATCCAGTGTACACTATTGGCTGTTTCTTTCTACCCGAGTGTCGGATACACCACTGACGGAGGAAGTCCATCCTATATCCCATAAGCGGGGATCAAACCGCTGTACGCCTTCTATACTAGAGCAAGTTTAGCTCTTTCAAATGTGAGTTTTATTTTTCCCTTTTTATTCATTTTTATTGTTTTAAACATTTTACACTATTGGTTCTTCACCCTTTTATCTTCTATATACGAGCGGATTCTCACGGATGAATATATAAAGGACAATTGCTCCGGATCAAGCACGGATAGATCCCATTACCTCAAAGAGCATATTCTAGATAAGACTTTCTTGTTTTACTACAGCTATTTATTTGGACTATTTGCTATTTTTATTTGTGTATTGGCGCAGCCTTTATCTTTTATTCTTTCTCTCTCTGCAAATGATGATGGCAGGCACCCGGTCGCAGGGGTCTGCAGGGCGGCCGGGCCTCCTGGAGTGACGGGCCCGGTCGCCGCTGTGACCCCTGTGACCACGGTATGTACGCCATTGCTGGGTGCCTATCGTGTCCATTAAATCGTGACTTTAGATAAATCACATGGACATTTCTAACAGCATTGAATCTTTGGGAAAGTGTATTATGTTAAGGACTTTGTTAGAAATGTTACTAAAAGTGCTTAGTTGTCTCTTAAAGAAATATGCATTTCATATAACAAAAGCCTTACTGCAGGAAGAAACTTTCAATTCATCGGAAAAACTACTTCTCATTTAATCAAGGTTTTATCATGTTCAGGTCTCTACATACACTGTAAAGTTCTCAAAAATGAAGGACATTTATTGTGTTTGCAATAAAGCCACAATATTTTTATTTAGCAATGTCTCATGAATATAACAATGCCACCATGTACTGGATTTCCAGGTTTTTAATTCTTTTTGCAAAATAAAATATTACATAGCAAATGAGAGTCATCACATAGTGGGAACATTGTTTGTGCAAGCGGTATTAATCCTCGATACAACACAAAACGTTCTATTCATAATTATGACAAGGTGGATAATATATATTTCCCAGAAGATCATGTTGGAACAAAAGAACAACAAAAATCATAAAACCGAAACATTTAAAACATGTACAATTAAAACTAAGTGATTGATATTTATGGCCGGAATGGCTTGACATGAGCTGAGCTCATTGTTGGAATGTGGACTCCTATCGCAACCTTACATAAACTCTAGGGGGAGATTTGTCCCTGTGTCAACCCCCATCCCTCCTCACCATCCACAGGTAGGTCACCCAGGGTTACCAAGTGCTGCAAAAGTGTAAGTGTTCTGGGAGTAGGCAGTTAGTTCTTCCATATATTTAATATCCTCTACTTCTATCAGAGAGGGGACATGTACTGACTTCCAGTGCAGCGGTATCAAGGTCTTGTCTGGTAACAAGAAGGCTAGGCAAGATCTGCAAATCTTGGTGAGCATCATAAAGGTATGTAACAGAAGGACCTCCCCTGGCCATGAGGAGGAAGATTAGCTATGGATCGGGTCCTGGGAAGTACCTCATTCTAAAAACACATCATCGGTGGGAAAGCCACCGTATTTGTAGTAGTGTACCTTTGTCTACCCTCATCTCAAACAGGTGTGTCAGGTATACTCGGCTTCTATCTATGAAATTTAGTGGGAGTGCAGTACCATCAAGAGAGATGTTTAAGCTAGCCTCCTGGAAATTTTAGCCAACAGTTTAAAAACGTTCTGCCATTGTTTGTCTGATAAGTATATCTGTAGGTCCTTTTCTGACCTTTTAGTATAAGCGGTTAGAGAGTTCCATTTAGTATTACTTATATTCCTATATGTCTGTGAAAGTACTTGCTTTGGGAAGATTGTGAAATAGTAATACAAGAATTCTCAAAGTCTGTAAGAAGTCTAAAGCCATTATTATGTCCAGGGAGGATCAAACAACAAAAGCTGGTACACTACCTACATAGGTAGTTGTGACAAACTCCCCTTCCCACGTGAGTTTGCCACGAACTCCTGGAGGAGCCTGCTTGCCAGCTTTCTGCCCACAGACTATGGGCCCTGCAAGGAAACCTGTAAAATACTATTTAACTGGCTTGGTTTGTGTGATTCCCCTAAACTGTTAGGGAACCGAACCACCGCAAGAACTATGGCCCACCTGGGAGCTTGTTAAGCTAATGGATACATTGTAACAATCCTAATCACAGTGTTCTAATGGTTTATCTGGATGAAGGGAAAAAGCTCCAAGGTATGGCAATGGATTCTGTTCCGTAGTTTGTTCTCTTTTAAACTACCATACTTGACCAACCGCTACCACTTTTTCCCTGGAACTGTTTTGGGCAAGAACCTTGTGTGTGGTCGGTCAAATTATGACTTCCATGGAAATATCGAAACCCCTGAACCGATCTGGGTGATGTTTGGATATGTTGGTCACCCAGATCGGGACTATCAAGGGGTGTAACGTTTGTGGGGTTTTCATGTAGTTTAAAGGTACTTTTGGGGTGTTTGTGAAATGTGTGTTTTTTTGTGCCTGGAGATAAATGAGTTTTGTAAAGTACCTGACTTAATTATCTCCGAGGCATATCACAGAAGCACCCTATCTTTGCACAGACAATTGGACAATAACCAGTCTGAGAGGTTCTTGGCTACCAGGGGGTTATTTGTCAGGGGGTGTAGCAGGGAGTATATGGTCGAAAGGACATGTCTCTCCATTGATCTACGCCAAACAATCATAGTTTGGTATATTGTGGGAGGCCAATGGGGCATAGCACAGATATCCCTGCAGTCTGCCAGGGCAAAGGGTGTAAAGGTATATCCAAGAAGCTAGCTTCCAAAGTCATCCATGGTTTAGATATGTTTCTCAAGGTCCACTATCGCAGTTCAGCGAGATGTTTGGAGACATAGTAATGTTGTATGTCAGGTAGACCCATTCTGCAATTATCCCTCGGTCTCGTCATGTCAGTTATACTAAGTCTTGATCTCCCGCTGAACCACACAAACTGAGCAACCAAGCAGAATTAATGTCTCTATTAAACTAACTGGGCACATGAATGGGGAGGGCAGTCAGCAAATATAAAATCCTATCTAACATGTTCACTTTTAGAATGCTAATCCCACCTGTCCAAGAGATAGTAGGTTTATTCCATTTAAGCAGGTCTGATTTAATGGATGTCAGGAGTGGCTTAAAGTTGATTATAAAGAGGTAATTTGGGTTACATGTCATTATAATACCCAGGTAAGTGAGTGAAGACGATGATATTCTGCTTAAGGTTAGTTCTCATAGTGGAGGTCAGGTTGGAAGACATGTATTTTAATAATTTATGGAGAAATTTGATAGATTACTGTATCATCTTGTTTCGGGACCCGTTTCCCGGCTACTAGAGAATCCTGGAGTGCCCCCCTCCCTCCCGCTCCCCATTCCATGTAGCTTACCTGAATCCAGTGCCGATGTACCTCGGCGCTGGGTTAGGCTCCGCCCACGCTCCTCCCCCGCCGACGTCAATTGGCGGAGGAGACCTAATGCGCATGCACGGCAATGGCTGTGTACGCGCATTAGACCTCCCCATCGTAAAGCATTATTCAATAATGCAAATCAAGTATAAGTTGTGTTAATATTTTTCATGTCATGGTCCATTTTCTTTTAAATGCACACAATCTTTAAAATTACAGATTTAGCAAATTACATCAACATCCAGTTCAGTCGAGGTTCTCTGTATGCACCACCTATGCTGACTGACAGGTCAGGACAAAATGGAGGCCCCCAGTTACAGGATAAAAAGGTATGCATTCTACATTTAAATACATTTGTCATACCTCACAAATAAATATTTAGTAAATATATTGATAAGTAGATATAATATTACTGATCCTGTGAAGTGACAGTTCCAGTTTAAAAGGTGTTCTAATTTTCTACTGTGAAAACCTTAAACTGGCATTCTTTAATACCAAATCTCATTTTCATCAGCAGAGCTTGCATGGACAAATTGTCGGTATGTGTCCGTGACTTGGATTCGGAAAACCATACATAGAACAGCCTGTGACACCTTTTAACACTTGCTTACCCAGATGATGTCTCTGTGACCACCCCCGGGTTAGCCCCCCCATATTGAGAATTTTAACAAAAGATTATTCCATTTGTTAGATCTTTGTTAGATCAGGTTTGATCAACAATTTTTTTCGTTAGATCTACTCTAAAATATGCGATATTAACAATCATTGTCAGGGGGGGCTAACCCGTAGCCAGCCCCCCCTCAACAAAAATTTGGAGAAAATGTTGTTGATTATGATAGCTCTACGTTAGATCAGGTTTGATCAGGCAAAATTTTTGTTTGATCTAGTCTAATTACTGAGATATTGCATATATAATTAGGGGGGGCTGGCCCCCCCTCAACTGAAATTTGGACAAAATGTTACTGATTTTGGTAGCTATTCGTTAGATCAGGTTTGATCAACTATTTTTTTCGTTAGATCTATCACGCAAGAGGCGGTATTCACTACCTAACTTTGTGGGCGTGACTGCAGGTTAGCCCCCCCTCAAGTGAAATTTGATTTTTTTTTTATTGATTTTGGTAGATATTCGTTAGATCAGGTTTGATCAACTGGTTTTTTCGTTAGATCTATCACGCAAGAGGCGGTATTCACTACTTAACTTTGTGGGCGTGACTATGGGTTTGCCCCCCCTCAAGTGAAATTTGAATATTTTTTGATTGATTTGGGTAGATATTCGTTAGGTCAGGCTTGATCAACTGTTTTTTTCGTTAGATCTATCACGCAAGAGGCGGTATTCACTACCTAACTTTGTGGGCGTGACTACGGGTTAGCCCCCCCTCAAGTGAAATTTGAATTTTTTTTTATTGATTTTGGTAGATATTCGTTAGATCAGGTTTGATCAACTGTTTTTTTCGTTAGATCTATCATGCAAGAGGCAGTATTCACTACTTAACTTTGTGGGCGTGACTACGGGTTAGCCCCCCCTCAAGTGAAATTTGAATTTTTTTTTATTGATTTTGGTAGATATTCATTAGGTCAGGTTTGATCAACTGTTTTTTTCGTTAGATCTATCACGCAAGAGGCGGTATTCACTACCTAACTTTGTGGGCGTGACTACAGGTTAGCCCCCTCTCAAGTGAAATTTGAATATTTTTTCATTGATTTTGGTAGATATTCGTTAGATCAGGTTTGATCAACTGTTTTTTTCGTTAGATCTATCACGCAAGAGGCGGTATTCACTACTTAACTTTGTGGGCGTGACTATGGGTTTGCCCCCCCTCAAGTGAAATTTGAATATTTTTTTTGATTGATTTGGGTAGATATTCGTTAGGTCAGGCTTGATCAACTGTTTTTTTCGTTAGATCTATCATGCAAGAGGCAGTATTCACTACTTAACTTTGTGGGCGTGACTACGGGTTAGCCCCCCCTCAAGTGAAATTTGAATTTTTTTTTATTGATTTTGGTAGATATTCATTAGGTCAGGTTTGATCAACTGTTTTTTTCGTTAGATCTATCACGCAAGAGGCGGTATTCACTACCTAACTTTGTGGGCGTGACTACAGGTTAGCCCCCTCTCAAGTGAAATTTAAATATTTTTTCATTGATTTTGGTAGATATTCGTTAGATCAGGTTTGATCAACTGTTTTTTTCGTTAGATCTATCACGCAAGAGGCGGTATTCACTACTTAACTTTGTGGGCGTGACTATGGGTTTGCCCCCCCTCAGGTGAAATTTGAATTTTTTTTTATTGGTTTTGGTAGATATTCGTTAGATCAGGTTTGATCAACTGTTTTTTTCGATAGATCTATCACACAAGAGGCGGTATTTACTACTTAACTTTGTGGGCGTGACTACGGGTTAGCCCCCCCTCAAGTGAAATTTGAATATTTTTTCATTGATTTTGGTAGCTATTCGTTAGATCAGGTTTGATCAACTATTTTTTTCGTTAGATCTATCACGCAAGAGGCGGTATTCACTACCTAACTTTGTGGGCGTGACTACGGGTTAGCCCCCCCTCAAGTGAAATTTGAATTTTTTTTTATTGATTTTGGTAGATATTCGTTAGATCAGGTTTGATCAACTGTTTTTTTCGTTAGATCTATCACGCAAGAGGCGGTATTCACTACTTAACTTTGTGGGCGTGACTACGGGTTAGCCCCCCCTCAAGTGAAATTTGAATTTTTTTTTATTGATTTTGGTAGATATTCGTTAGATCAGGTTTGATCAACTGTTTTTTTCGTTAGATCTATCACGCAAGAGGCGGTATTCACTACCTAACTTTGTGGGCGTGACTACGGGTTAGCCCCCCTCAAGTGAAATTTGAATATTTTTTCATTGATTTTGGTAGATATTCGTTAGATCAGGTTTGATCAACTGTTTTTTTCGTTAGATCTATCACGCAAGAGGCGGTATTCACTACTTAACTTTGTGGGCGTGACTATGGGTTTGCCCCCCCTCAAGTGAAATTTGAATTTTTTTTTATTGATTTTGGTAGATATTCGTTAGATCAGGTTTGATCAACTGTTTTTTTCGATAGATCTATCACGCAAGAGGCGGTATTTACTACTTAACTTTGTGGGCGTGACTACGGGTTAGCCCCCCCTCAAGTGAAATTTGAATTTTTTTTCATTGATTTTGGTAGCTATTTGTTAGATTAAGTAAGATCAACTGTTTTTTTCCGTAAGATCTATCACGCAAAAGGCGGTATTCACAATCTTATTTTAATTTTGCACATAAATACCAGTAAATTTTCATATCAAGCCACAGGTGACATCATAATTTAGGAATTTGCTTGGATTTGCTAACACAATGTGTAGATCATTTTCAATATTTTTTTTTTATTCTCTACATGCACAGTATTGAGGTGATAAAGTCCAGCATATGCCCAGCCTGAACTTATTAGTGATATTTGAATACAGTTGCAAGAAAAAGTATGTGAGCCCTTTGGAATGATATGGATTTCTGCACAAATTGGTCATAAAATGTGATCTGATCATCATCTAAGTCACAACAATAGACAATCAGTCTGCTTAAACTAATAACACACAAAGAATGAAATGTTGCCATGTTTTTATTGAACACACCATGTAAACATCCACAGTGCAGGTGGAAAAAGTATGTGAACCCCTAGACTAATGACATCTCCAAGAGCTAATTGGAGTGAGATGTCAGCCAACTGGAGTCCAATCAATGAGATGAGATTGGAGGTGTTGGTTACAGCTGCCCAGGTCAGGAGTAATTCTTGACCATTCCTCTTTACAGAACTGTTTCAGTTCAGCAATATTCTTGGGATGTCTGGTGTGAATCGCTTTCTTGAGGTCATGCCACAGCATCTCAATCGGGTTGAGGTCAGGACTCTGACTGGGCCACTTCAGAAGGTGTATTTTCTTCTGTTTAAGCCATTCTGTTGTTGATTTACTTCTATGCTTTGGGTCATTGTCCTGTTGCAACATCCATCTTCTGTTGAGCTTCAGCTGGTAGACAGATGGCCTTAAGTTCTCCAGCAAAATGTCTTTGGAATTTGGGAATTCATTTTTCCTTCGATGATAGCAATCCGTCCAGGCCCTGACGCAGCAAAGTAGCCCCAAACCATGATGCCCCCACCACCATACTTCACAGTTGGGAAGAGGTTTTGATGTTGGTGTGCTGTGCCTCTTTTTCGCCACATATAGTGTTGTGTGTTTCTTCCAAACAACTCAACTTTGGTTTCATCTGTCCACAGAATATTTTGCCAGTACTGCTGTGGAACATCCAGGTGCTCTTGTGCAAACTGTAAACGTGCAGCAATGTTTTGTTTGGACTGCAGTGGCTTCCTCTGTGGTATCCTCCCATGAAATCCATTCTTGTTTAGTGTTTTACGTATTGTAGATTCGCTAACAGGGATGTTAGCATTTGCCAGTGACTTTTGTAAGTCTTTAGCTGACACTCTAGGATTCTTCTTCACCTCATTGAGCAGTCTGCGCTGTGCTCTTGCAGTCATCTTTACAGGACGGCCACTCCTAGGGAGAGTAGCAGCAGTGCTGAACTTTCTCCATTTATAGACAATTTGTCTTACCGCGGACTGATGAACAGCAAGGCTTTTGGAGATACTTTTATAACCCTTTCCAGCTTAATGCAAGTCAACAGTTCTTAATCGTAGTTCTTCTGAGAGCTCTTTTGTGCGAAGCATCATTCACATCAGGCTATGCTTCTTGTGAAAAGCAAACCCAGAACTGGTGTGTGTTTTTTATAGGTCAGGGCAGCTGTAACCAACACCTCCAATCTCATCTCATTGATTGGACTCCAGTTGGCTGACATCTCACTCCAATTAGCTCTTGGAGATGTCATTAGTCTAGGGGTTCACATACTTTTTCCACCTGCACTGTGGATGTTTACATGGTGTGTTCAATAAAAACATGGCAACATTTCATTCTTTGTGTTTTATTAGTTTAAGCAGACTGATTGTCTATTGTTGTGACTTAGATGATGATCAGATCACATTTTATGACCAATTTGTGCAGAAATCCATATCATTCCAAAGGGCTCACATACTTTTTCTTGCAACTGTATTCAAATATCACTAATAAGTTCAGGCTGGGCATATGCTGGACTTTATCACCTCAATACTGTGCATGTAGAGAATAAAAAAAAATATTGAAAATGATCTACACATTGTGTTAGCAAATCCAAGCAAATTCCTAAATTATGATGTCACCTGTGGCTTGATATGAAAATTTACTGGTATTTATGTGCAAAATTAAAATAAGATTGTGAATACCGCCTTTTGCGTGATAGATCTTACGGAAAAAAACAGTTGATCTTACTTAATCTAACAAATAGCTACCAAAATCAATGAAAAAAAATTCAAATTTCACTTGAGGGGGGGCTAACCCGTAGTCACGCCCACAAAGTTAAGTAGTAAATACCGCCTCTTGCGTGATAGATCTATCGAAAAAAACAGTTGATCAAACCTGATCTAACGAATATCTACCAAAATCAATAAAAAAAAATTCAAATTTCACTTGAGGGGGGGCAAACCCATAGTCACGCCCACAAAGTTAAGTAGTGAATACCGCCTCTTGCGTGATAGATCTAACGAAAAAAACAGTTGATCAAACCTGATCTAACGAATATCTACCAAAATCAATGAAAAAATATTCAAATTTCACTTGAGAGGGGGCTAACCCGTAGTCACGCCCACAAAGTTAGGTAGTGAATACCGCCTCTTGCGTGATAGATCTAACGAAAAAAACAGTTGATCAAACCTGATCTAATGAATATCTACCAAAATCAATAAAAAAAAATTCAAATTTCACTTGAGGGGGGGCTAACCCGTAGTCACGCCCACAAAGTTAAGTAGTGAATACTGCCTCTTGCGTGATAGATCTAACGAAAAAAACAGTTGATCAAACCTGATCTAATGAATATCTACCAAAATCAATAAAAAAAAATTCAAATTTCACTTGAGGGGGGGCTAACCCGTAGTCACACCCACAAAGTTAGGTAGTGAATACCGCCTCTTGCGTGATAGATCTAACGAAAAAAATAGTTGATCAAACCTGATCTAACGAATAGCTACCAAAATCAATGAAAAAATATTCAAATTTCACTTGAGGGGGGGCTAACCCGTAGTCACGCCCACAAAGTTAAGTAGTAATACCGCCTCTTGCGTGATAGATCTAACGAAAAAAACAGTTGATCAAACCTGATCTAATGAATATCTACCAAAATCAATAAAAAAAAATTCAAATTTCACTTGAGGGGGGGCTAACCCGTAGTCACGCCCACAAAGTTAAGTAGTGAATACCGCCTCTTGCGTGATAGATCTAACGAAAAAAACAGTTGATCAAACCTGATCTAATGAATATCTACCAAAATCAATAAAAAAAAATTCAAATTTCACTTGAGGGGGGGCTAACCCGTAGTCACGCCCACAAAGTTAGGTAGTGAATACCGCCTCTTGCGTGATAGATCTAACGAAAAAAATAGTTGATCAAACCTGATCTAACGAATAGCTACCAAAATCAATGAAAAAATATTCAAATTTCACTTGAGGGGGGGCTAACCCGTAGTCACGCCCACAAAGTTAAGTAGTGAATACCGCCTCTTGCGTGATAGATCTAACGAAAAAAACAGTTGATCAAACCTGATCTAACGAATATCTACCAAAATCAATGAAAAAATATTCAAATTTCACTTGAGAGGGGGCTAACCCGTAGTCACGCCCACAAAGTTAGGTAGTGAATACCGCCTCTTGCGTGATAGATCTAACGAAAAAAACAGTTGATCAAACCTGACCTAATGAATATCTACCAAAATCAATAAAAAAAAAAATTCAAATTTCACTTGAGGGGGGGCTAACCCGTAGTCACGCCCACAAAGTTAGGTAGTGAATACCGCCTCTTGCGTGATAGATCTAACGAAAAAAACAGTTGATCAAGCCTGACCTAACGAATATCTACCCAAATCAATCAAAAAAATATTCAAATTTCACTTGAGGGGGGGCAAACCCATAGTCACGCCCACAAAGTTAAGTAGTGAATACCGCCTCTTGCGTGATAGATCTAACGAAAAAAACAGTTGATCAAACCTGATCTAACGAATATCTACCAAAATCAATAAAAAAAAATTCAAATTTCACTTGAGGGGGGACTAACCTGCAGTCACGCCCACAAAGTTAGGTAGTGAATACCGCCTCTTGCGTGATAGATCTAACGAAAAAAATAGTTGATCAAACCTGATCTAACGAATAGCTACCAAAATCAGTAACATTTTGTCCAAATTTCAGTTGAGGGGGGGCCAGCCCCCCCTAATTATATATGCAATATCTCAGTAATTAGACTAGATCAAACAAAAATTTTGCCTGATCAAACCTGATCTAACGTAGAGCTATCATAATCAACAACATTTTCTCCAAATTTTTGTTGAGGGGGGGCTGGCTACGGGTTAGCCCCCCCCTGACAATGATTGTTAATATCGCATATTTTAGAGTAGATCTAACGAAAAAAATTGTTGATCAAACCTGATCTAACAAAGATCTAACAAATGGAATAATCTTTTGTTAAAATTCTCAATATGGGGGGGCTAACCCGGGGGTGGTGTCTCTGTGGCTCAGTCTGGCTGAAATCTCCACTTCCAGAATGGTTTTAAATAAGGCTGCAATGTCCCGTTACAGGAGGTGGTCAGACATGACACCAGAAACACAAATTCAATTTTTTTATTTAGGCCCAGATAACTTGGAGCTCCAGGCCCTTGAAGCCCTTAATCCAGCACTGGGAATAGCAATTCTCTATGAACAGTGCATCCTTCAGTCTGAGGGAGTGGTATGCTTTACAGTAAAATGAGTGGGGCAGGACATGTTAGTAACCAGGAACTGTCAGTTTCATGGAACTCAACCCTGCTTCAGTAGAATAAATTATGTTTTTGTTCCAGGACATGCGACAGGATTCAATATTCTTATTAGTTGTATTAATTTGAATATCTTAAACGCCTGCACTCGTGTTATAAATAAAACCATATACTGTGTTGTGAGGAACTTTAAAAAGGAAGATATATATATTAAAGAAGAAACAAAAAATATTTTTCTGATTTTATTATCACCTTCTTTTTCCCCATTCTTAAGGGGGAATCATTACTTCTCTCTGATAATGATATACTGAGGAAGTGTTTTGCTCTACACAAACTTAATCGGAAAGGAGTCACCAATGATGATTTCCCCACTTTTATTAAACTTTAACAGCGCCAGCATTTCCACCTGTCAGCTGTTGGGGTGACTACCCAACAGACAGATACTCCAAGTCTTTATCCAGAGTTCGTACAGCCTGCCTTCGGCCATCAGCCCTAGCAGGCTGCGACTCCCCAAATCCTTTCCGTGCATCACATGCGTTGGCCAGGAACTCCGCCACCGCGATGCCGGCCCTGCCTCTCCTTTCCCGGCATCGTGCCCCCCGCAGCCAGTGCCTTTTCTATACCCGACTGCAGACCCGCATTAAAAATGTCCAATCCTATTTGGTTCAGGTGCACACCGTCAGCCCTCATCAAATTGCTATTGTCCCCCTCCAGCTCGACATGCCGGACCGCCACACCACCAAGCCGCTGCACAAACCGAGAGATCGTCATGTTGAGCTTGCGCCTGCTCCGCTCCAGACCCTTGGCATGCGGCAAGGCATGCCAGCCAGGATGGGGAACAATCTCTGACCAAATAAGAATACAGTCTGTGAATAGAGCTAAACACCGGGCCAAGTCCTGTCTGCCAGAGTGCATAAGATCCACCGTTCTAACCCTCCCTAAATCATTACCCCCCGCATGAATCAAAATTGTAACAGGACCAGACACAAACCTGCTAAGGGCCACACACTCCGGATAGACTTGCCTCCAGGACAGAGCCCGAACACCCCTCCAGCATACCCTCGCTACGTCCGAGGAGATCCCTAGGTTCCGACCGTAGGAGCGAGACTGAGCCCGACGAGCTGCCCAATAAATAAACGAATGCCCCAAGATCCAAACATAACGGGAAACACAACCTGGAACAAATCATAACAGATGCGGTCGGACATACAGTTGATATCTCCTAGAAGACCATCTGCCTAAGTGCTGCACCACTGAACCCGCCAAACCCATACAGCTAGCCTGAGTTGCGGCCCCGATTCTGAAAGAATGAGGCGAGAAACCGGATGGATCTAGACCGCAGTCCACCAAGGCTCTCCCCAACATCGACGCAAACTGAAAACGCGTAAGCGGGGACCCTTCCGCATGCACCAACAGCGAGGACGACGCCGGCCGGCTCGCCATATACTGCTGGAAGAGCCGGACGGGACAATACTCACCCCCCGAGCTCCCCACCCTGAGCCACGCACCAACACCAGCTTGATCTGTCTTGGATCTGCGAATATGCAGGTCCACAAACCCATCTGCCCAACGTACATCTGATATCAAGAGAGGAGAAACCGACTGGCGATTGGGGGCGACAAGCTCTCCCACCCGCAACGCACCGAAGAAACAAAGCGCAAAACTGACCTGAAACAGCAGACACTCAGAGACTGAGCCACAGACCCCCGGCAACGCCCCCAGCAACTGCCACAACAGGTCCACTGAAATCGGCCGCCGCCGGTCTGGACGCCTCCGACTCCTCCAACCGCGCAGAACCCGTTGCAGGCAAAACTCCTTTGTTAAGTCCCGCCAGCCTAAAAAACAAAGCAAAAACAACAGAGCCGACAGAGCTCTCTCAGCCAAGGCGCATGATTGACCTTGCTCCAGGAGCCTATTCATGTAGCGCAACGTTAATGAGAACCGCCTGACTCCAATGACATTTGATCAGACCAATCCACACAAGACAACCAACCTGTCCATACAGACCTGTACGCCTTCCACGTAGCAGCTGACAATGATTCCGATACCACGGACATCAGCCCTCCGAAACCAGGTCCCATAAGTATGCCGGGCAGTGAAGCCTCTCCTGATCTGCTCCCGACGCCGACTCCCGAAAACGGTCCCACTGAAACCGAGAGAGAGAGTCAGCCACCACATTCAAAACTCCGGAACGTGCCGAGCCTGCAACCACACATTAAACTGCAAGCTAAGCAGCACTAGGTGACACAAGAGGGCCAATACTGGAGGAGACGCAGACGACGATCGGTTAATCACACGGACCACGCTCATGTTATCCGTGTGAAAAACCACCAACCGGTTCCGCAATTCGTCCCCCCACAGTGCTAGCGCCACCACTATGGGGAACAGCTCCAAGAACGTGAGGTTCTGCATCACCTCCAGCTCCCACCATGCCGACGGCCAAGCAGCCGCACACCACTTGCCCTGAAAGAAGGCCCCAAACCCTACCGACCCCGATGCATCCGTATAAAGGTCAAGTTCGGCATTGGGATCCGCTTCCTGCAACCAGCATGATCGGCCGTTATACTTGCCCAGGAAGGCACTCCACACCTGCAGGTCGGCCCGCAGCTTGGCAGTCACCCTAATGAAATGGTGAGCCTCCCTGACACCAACCGTCGCCAAGGACAAGCGCCTACAAAAAGCCCGACCCATGGGCAAAACTCTGCAAGCAAATGCTAGATGACCCAGCAGAACTTGCATCGTGTGCAACTGGACCTTCCGAGACGATTTGACCAAGTCAATCTGCTGCAGCAGCACCATAAGCTTTTCATCCGGTAAACGAAAAAACCATGTCAACGGTGTCGATCTCGATGCCCAAAAACGACAGCCTTGTGGCTGGCCCCTCCGTCTTATGCTCCGCAACTGGCACACCAAACCACGCAGACACTGTGCGGAAGGCAGACAACAACCGAGCACATCCATAACCCTCCCGAGGACTCACAAACAGGAAGTGCGTAACTGGATCCAAACCCGAGTACTGAACCATGGACCATTCCAAAAACTAGGAAAACATTTCAAAATAAGAACACGATATAGAACAACCCATGGGAAGGCACATGTCGTAGAAGTACGACCCCTGGAATCGACAACCCAGAAGGTGATAACATTCCAGATGAACCGGCAATAACCGAAAGGCCGATTTGATGTCCGATTTAGCCAGGAGTGCCCCCAACCCCGCTTCCCTAACCAATGACATGGCCCTGTCAAAAGAGGAATAACGCACCCTGCTAAACTCCTTATCGATATCATCATTCACCGACCTCCCGGCCGGGTAGGACAGGTGATGAATCAACCGAAAGGAGCCAAGCTCCTTCTTTGGTACCAGCCCCAAGGGCGATACCCGCAAGTTGGGAAATGGGGGGAAAGAAAACGGCCCCGCCATGCGCCCCAATGACAACTCCTTCCTCAATTTAATGCCCAAAACTTCCTCCTTACCCTGGACTGCCCGAAGATTTTCTGCCAACTGCGGCTCCGCCGAGAAGACAAAGGGGATCCAGAATCCGACTGAAAACCCTTCCTCCAACACCGCAGCGTCACTGGGGTCCTCCCCTTTGGAACCAGCCTCTCGGGACCCTGCCTTAGGGATGGACTGCTTCGCCTTCTTAAAGCATCGCATGGCGGGGTGAGCCCCCCCCCCCGCAATGCGAGCAGAAAGAAATAGAATTTGGGATGGAACAGCGCTACAGTGCTGATCACAGAGGTGGATGGAGCTGCACACCTGAGGGGTATTCACCAAAACCTTCAATAAATCTGGGATCAGGAAACAACAAAAATACAGGATGCGCTAGGTAGAATAAATGAGAGATAAATGGTACAAATAGGAGATAATATTTACAAAGAAAAAGTCTCTGAAAATACAAGGTGGGTCTTGGGTAGGTCTACTTAGATCCTTGATAAGGTCCTCAGTGGTTGATATGAAAAGCAAAATTAAACAAAGAAAGACCAATAGTGCAAAACTGTATGGGGATGGTGTCACGGACAACACAGAAAAGAGAAATGACAACTCACGATTGATAGAGCTATGCCCAGCTCTAGGTAAAACAGCATACAGTGGTATTTGGAACTCCCCACATGTAGGATATTGTTGGACAATAGGTAATTCTTCAATACTTTGTACAACGACTCAAATATGTGTCAGCATATAAAAAACATAAAAGAAAAAACGGACCAATGGTACAATAGCATATGACACCTGCAGCTACAGACAAACACGGAAGTCCTGAGAGTGCCAACTTACAGTGAAAAGAGCTATAATCAGCTCTAACTAAAACAGCATACAGTGGTATTTAAACTCCCCACATGTAGGATATCCTTCTGGTGATGTATGGAGTGCAGGATTTATGAAAGACAAAAGCACAGAAGAGAGCCCATGGTGTTCTCAGTAGATAAAATGGTGCTAAAAAGTAAAATGAAACGTACTTACAATGTATAGAGCAGCCACACTGCTCTATAAACCAGGCGTGAGTGGAATAATCCCCACCTGAGGATTTCTTTGTAGTACTGGATCTTTTAAAATAGTAAAAACCAGCCAGGATAAAAGTAGCAAAAAAATAAAAGTAGAAGGACTGACCATAGGGATATAGGTGGTCTAAAAATAATTTTATTATAATAAGGTCATAAAAAACACAATGCGTTTCGCCCAAAATAGGCTTTTTCAAGTGTAAACAGATACTCCTGGCTTGTTACATTTTATAGGCAGCAGAAAAGGCTTGAATTTGAAAATTGGCGCCAAAATGACGTCATTAGCATGTGACCGCGATCACATGACCTATACATACATATAAGATAAACATAAATGTTACATAGTGATCGTTTTACATAAAAGAATACATGGGATGATTTCAGACCCATGTATAACTCATATAGGAGGTTAAAAATTGACCTTTGTTTGATACAAAAAGGAAGTGATGTAGGGGAATGCAGAGGTGAAAGGTTGCGAAATCCCAGCCGTGGGTGGGGTCAGATGTGAACAGGAGGCAGTGTGGGAAGAGGCCAAGGTGCATTATGGGGAGTGGGGTCCAAATGAAGGGTGTGATCTGAAAAGGGAGCAGACCTTGCGGCCGAGATAATGTGAACGTGGCGGCCATCTTAGTTATGGGCAAAGTGTGGGAAAGTGTATTAGATAGAATAGAAATTACATTATAGCAAAGTGAATGTTTATATTAGATAATAGCATTTTTAAAACAAAGGTAAATGTTGAATAAACTAATAAATTATAGTTTGTATACAAATGTCTGAACTTGATGTTTAAATAAAGTGTAATAAAAAACGGTTATACATTTTAAATTTAAAAGGCTATTCAATGATTATTAAAATATATATCCTAGTGTTATAGGACATTGTAGATGGAAAGAGGTAGTAGAGAAGTCAAGTTTATAAATCGCTTTATAAATCGCTGGTAAGACCACACCTTGAATATGCTGTGCAATTTTGGGCGCCTGTTCTAAAGAAGGATATCATGGCACTGGAGAGGGTCCAGAGACGAGCTACAAAATTGATAAAAGGAATGGAGCATTTTAGTTATGAAGAAGGTTAAAAAAATTAAATCTGTTTAGTTTGGAAAAACGGCGCCTGAGAGGGGATATGATAACTTTATACAAATATATTCGGGGCCAGTACAAACCTTTATCTGGAAATCTATTCATATACAGGGTTATACATAGGACACAAGGTCACACATTTAGGCTGGAAGAAATGAGATTTCATCTAAGGCAAAGAAAAGGTTTTTTTACAGTAAGAACAATAAGGATATGGAATTCTCTGCCTGAAGAGGTGGCTTTGTCAGAGTCCATACAGATGTTTAAACTGAAATTGGATAAATACTTACAAAAACATAACATACAGGGATATAATTTCTAATTAGTGGGGTAATAGCTGCTTGATCCAAGGGGACATCTGACTGCTATTTTGGGGTCAAGAATGAATTTTTTCCTAGTTTGTGGCAAAATTGGAAGTGCTTCAGACCAGGTTTTTTGCCTTCTTTTGGATCAACAGCAACAACATTTGTGAGGAAGGCTGAACTTGATGGACGCAAGTCTCTTTTCAGCTATGTAACTATGTAACTATGTAAGTGTTTATAATTAACATAAATTAAAAAGTTATAAAAGTTGTTGATATTGATTAAGAAAATAAAAATTTATAAGAAATTAAAAAGGTCAAAATCTGCATTTAAACCGTCAGGGGTAAGTGTTTTAAGATTAAAAACCCATTCCATTTCGGATTTACATAAAATATTTTTAATATCCCCACCTCTCCATGGGATTGTACATATTTGGATAGGGGTGAATTTAAGGACACTTTAAGGACACTCCGCCGGCGCATCCATAAGGCGGCACAAGTGGCCGCCTTAGGGCGCACTGGCCCGGCGGGCGCAAAGCCGGAGTGACCGGCAGGAGGTGAGCGCAGAGCGCTCCCTCCTGCCAGGCACTCTGTGTAGCGTGGCCGAGCGCGCCGCGGTACAGGAACTTATGTTTCCTGTACCCGGGTGGACGGAAATGAAGTGCTCACAGAGAGAGCACTTCCTGTCCGCCGGGTACAGGAAACTGAGCTCCGCGGTGCTCTCGGCCACGCTACAAGGTAGGAGCTCAAGGAGGGGAGGGGGGGAATGAAAACTAAGGGAGGGATGAAGGGGGGAGGTGAGAGAAAACTGAGGGAGGTATGGGGGAGAACCTGAGGGAGGCATGGGGGGGCTGAGAGAAAACTGAGGGAGGTAAGGAAGAAGTAACCCGAGGGGAGGTAATAAGGGGGGGTTGAGAGAAAACTGAGGGGAAGAGAAGGAATCTGAGGGAGGTATGGGGGGAGAAGGAATGAGGGAGGTATGGGGGGTTGAGGGAAAACTGAGGGAGGTGGCGGGGGGGAGAAGGGAAACGAGGGAGGTATGGGGGGAAACTGGAGGGAGGTATGGGGGGGAAACTGAGGAGGTGCTGGGGGGGAAACTGAGGGAGGTATGGGGGGAGAAGGAAACTGAGGGAGGTATGGGGGAACTGAGGGAGGTATAGGGGAACTGAGGAGGCATAGGGGGGAACTTGAGGGAGGTATGGGGGGAGAGAAAACTGAGGAGGGGAGAGAAAACTGAGGGAGGCAGGAGAGAAAACTGAGGGAGGTATGGAGGGGGGAACTGAGGGAGAGATGCGGGGAGAAAACTGAGGGAGGTATGGAGGGGGGAAACTGAGGGAGAGATGGGGGAGAAACTGAGTGTGGGATGGGAGAAAAAAAAATGAGGGAGGGATGGGGGGAAAGAAAACAGTGGGGGTGGGGAGACGACTTACACACAGCACCCCTGCCCTACACACATCACCCCACACAAAGACACACACACACATCACCCCACACAAAGACACACACACCACCCCACACACAAACACATACACTGTACCCCTCAATGCACTGTGTGTACACTCAGCAGTCTGTGTGTGTGTACACTCAGCAGTCTGTGTGTGTGTACACTAAGCAGTCTGTGTGTGTGTACACTCAGCAGTCTGTGTGTGTGTACACTCAGCAGTCTGTGTGTGTGTACATTCAGCAGTCTGTGTGTGTGTACACTCAGCAGTCTGTGTGTACTCAGCAGTCTGGGTGTACACTCAGCAGTGTGTGTGTGTGCGTATTTAGCAGTCTGTGTGTGTGTGTGTGTGTGTGTGTTTATTTAGCAGTCTGTGTGTGTGTGTTTATTTAGCAGTCTGTGTGTGTATTCAGCAGACTATGTACTCAGCAGTCTGTGTGTGTATTCAGCAGTCTGCTAAATACAGACAGACTGCTAAGTACACAGACAGACTGCTAAATACACACAGACTGCTAAATACACACAGACAGACTGCTAAATACATATACAGACAGACTGCCGAGCACACACACAAACTGCTTAATACACACACAGAGATGTTAATTAGTTCAGACAACTGTATGAGTTGTTTTTTCTAAACTTAAACCTCAGTATTCAGGTTTAATTGCCGTTTTGGCACTTTGAGGGGAAAAAAATTGGCATGTATTACAGTTTGGGCACTCGGGCTCAAAAAGGTTCGCCATCACTGTCCTAGTCTTTAGATTTCTGGATGTCATACCCACATACTGGAGGCCAAAGGGGCACTCCAGTAGGTATATGACATTTTTTGTACAGCATGTGATAAAATGTTCTATATTGTAACTTTTGTTTGTAATATTAGATTTAAATTTGGTGATTTTATTTGGGACTGACTTTTGAGTGGTTTTGCAGACAATGCACTTTCTGCATTTGAAAAAAACCTTTGACATTGGATAAAGTGGATGATTTGTTTAGCTTGGTTTTAGTGAAGTTTTTGGTTAAAAGTGTTTTAAAATTGGGAGCACCACGAAAGATAATTTGGGGTTTTTCGGGAATCATTTTATTAAGAACAGGGCCTTCTAATAAAATGTGACAATGGTTTTTGATGGTTCTTCTACAGAGACTGTTTTTGTTGTTATAGTCAAAGATAATGGGCAAGAATGAAGTAGTTTTTTGAGTTTCTTTATTTTTATTTTTATATTTCAAGAGGCTGCTTCTGTCATTGGATTTCATTTTAGTGATAATAGTGTTAAGTTTGTCCTCTGGGTAGTGTTTCTCTAAAAAATTGTTTTTTTAAATGTTATTCTGTTCATTAAAATCGTCATTGAGTATGCAGTTTCTTTTGAGTCTTATGAATTGGCTTTTAGGAGCACTTTCAAGCCAGGGTGCGTGGTGGCAACTTTTTTGTTCAATGACTGTGTTAGTGCACACCTTTTTAAAAAAAGTTTTTGTGTTTAGTTGTCCGTCTTTAATAAAAATATTTAGATCTAAAAAATTAATTTCTTCCTTACTAGACTCTGTAGTTAAAACTATATCTCTGTCATTTTGATTTAGGTGTTTTAAAAACAGTTGTAAAGAGCTGTTTGTGCCATTCCAGAAAAAAAACATGTCATCAATGTAGCGGAAATAGGAAACCAAGTTTGCCCTCCATTCATGGTCACCCCAAACTGCATCAGCTTCCCAGTCTGCCATGAATAAGTTAGCGTAACTGGGGGCAAACCTGGTTCCCATTGCCGTGCCCCTTTTCTGGATATAAAAGGAGTATAAAAACCAAAAAAAAGTTGTTATTTAAGATGATCTTTTTTCTGCTTTTAGTATTTTAGTAACTGCTTCGCAGCCTTTTTCATGGGGGATGATAGTGTAAAGGGATGTTACGTCGCAAGTCACCAAAATATAGTCTTTTTGCCATACGAAGTCTTTAAAAAAGAGAAGGAGGGACATGGTATCTTTCAAATAGGATTTCATATTTTTTACAGAGGGTTGAAGTAAAATGTCAATGTATTCAGACAAGCTGGATAAGATGGAGTTTATACCTGAAACAATAGGGCGGCCTGGGGGGTTAGTCTCGTTTTTGTGAATTTTAGGGAGAAAGTAAATGACTGGAATTTTAGGATATGCTTTATATAAATAGTTAAATTCTTGTTTGTTGAGAATATTGGAGTTGCTACCTTCCACTAAACAGTGGTATAAGGTGGCTTGGATCTTAGAACTGGGGTCTGTGAGTAACTTCTCATATACTTCGTTATCATTTAATTGCTTGAGAGACTCATTTATATACATATCTTTAGAAAGAATGACAAGGCCACCTCCCTTGTCTGCTGGTTTTATGACAATATCTGTGTTTGATTGTAATTCTTTTAGGGCCTTTTTTTTCTGGATGATTTAAATTTGATTTGTCTGATTTTTTTCTCTTGATATTGTTGAAATCTTTTAAAACAAGTTTTTCAAATACTTCTAAAGGTCCTGATTTAAAATTGGATGGATAAAATTTGGATTGGGGCTTGAGGTTAGTATTTATTATAGTCGAAGTATTTGTTGTAGTTGAGATAGTGGTTGGGGTGGACTGTGTGGGAGTATTTGAGGGAGGTATAGTATCTTTCCCCATAAAAAATCTTTTTAGAAAAAATCTTTTTAGAAAATCTTTCTTACAAATTTATTTACGTCCAGAAAGGCTTGAAATGGTTTAAAGGACGTGGTAGGTGCAAACTTAAGACCCTTGCTGAGTACTGCTCATTGCGTAGATGTGAGAGATATTTGAGATAGATAAAAAATTCCCCTTTCTTTTTCAGTTTTTTGGTTTTCTATTCTACTAGTTTTTCTCTTTTGCTCTCTTCTTCCACATCTCCTTCCTCTAAGGTATAGCTTCTTTTTCTGGCTCGTGATGGTAGGAATGATAGTGGATGTGATTGTGGATTGGATCTTATCTCTAAAAAATTGTCCTCCATATCAATTTCTGAATCTACTGATAAAAGTTGGTATTTGTGATTGGAGATTTTGATTGGTCTGTGAAGCCATAGTTTTTGTGTGTAAATCGTGTTCTTTGTGGTCTTGGAGAAAAATCTTTATAGGTTTTGTTTGTATCATTTTTGTAGGAGGTATGATTGCTATAGTCCGAGCGATTCGTGCTTAAACCTACAGGAGGAGTACCACCTGCGGTGGCTCTCATTGAAGAGCCAGCACACTCCTCTTTTCTGCCCTGCCAGTGCACAGGAGGAAGCTCCTGCGCTGGCTGCCCCTGGAAAGGACGCCGGACGACTAGGCGTCATGAGTAACAGCCACAGGCTGCCATCCTGCGTGCTGAAGTCCAGTCCAGGACACGCCGCCATCTTCTGACGGAACTGCTGGTCATAGCGGAACCAGCTCTGCCCACCATACACCTTATCCGCACCCCAAATCAGATCCAAGTACCCGAACAACGCCGGCGCCCTATCCGGAAACCGACAGGTCAGAATACTCGTGAAAACCGCGAAGCCCTGTAACCAATTCCCAAACGTACGTGGGATTTGCTTACCCTTCTCAGGATTTTGTGGTTCGCCTCGGCGCGGCCGATCCACAGAATCCCTGTCCTGGGAAACCAGGGTCAGAAAGTCCACAAATTCCCCTTTTAGAATCTTGCATGCCCAAGGGGGATAGTTCACAACCAGGTAGAGAGGGATGAAAGACCCCCTTCCCCATGCCTGGGCCCTATCGGCCAGAGCCTCCTCCGGCACCCTGCGTGCATCCCTTGACTGGCTATGTGCAGACCCTGGTAAGCTATCTACCACTGCCCTGAGCAAGCGCAACAATTACCCTTCCGCAGCCTGCTCCTGCCCTAGGATACCTGGCGCGCCCTGCCCCCCAGTTAGGCTACCCCAAGCGCTAGCGCAAGCCAACTCACCACTTACTTGAGCTGCCACTGTAGCTCACTCTGGTTGGTAACCTCTGGGCATCGTCCTCCGGTCCAACTCTTCCTCATCTTCCTCCTGAGATCCGGAATCCGAGCCCTCCTGCAGCCTGTCTGCCCTCTGGCTGCTGTATCTCCCACCTGTTGGACTCCTGGCCAACAGTCCCCGGGTCTCAGGCTCCCTGTGCTGCAGGGCACCTGCCCCCAGCCTTCTCCCAGGCTGGACAGCCCTCCGATCCCGAAGGTGGGCTGCGAGAGCGCTTTTCCCATGCTCCACCATCTTGGGCCTGCCTTGCCGCAGCTCCTCTCACCCGCGCCTGCCTCCTGGAAGTCCGGGATCCGCCATCGCCTCGCCATGTCCAGAAGCCGCCTGCTGTCCGCTGTTCCCGGCCTCCACCATCCCTCCTCTATGCACCGGACTGGGGGAAAGGCGGGAAGGAGGCCTAGAACGCCTCGGCCTCCTCCCGCGGGCCAGAGAAGGGGTCTCCGCCACCAGCTGCTCAGCATCCATCTGGGCCTGGGGAAGGTCAACCATCAGGTCCACCAGGGAACCGGACCCATGGGACGCCAGGTAGGCCTGCAGCACCCCCAGCAAAGCCTCCCTTGACAAATCCACCATCTTGCAGGGAAGGCCTGGCTTAGAACAGCAAATAAGTATAAATTCTCTTTTTTTTTTTAAAACAGCAGAAGGCAAAGGCTAAAGGGCTCTGAAACTGAAACTGTTCCAGACCGCTCCTTCTGCTCAGCTTTTCCCTTTTTGTTTAAAAAATATTGCTCTACATGATGTCATTACTGTATCTGTGAGTTGTATTTCAGCTATTAGTACAGTAGAAAACTGACATTTGAACTACAATTCCAAGAATTCATGGTTGTACCTTTAAAGCACTATTTATGGTACAAGCTCGGCATTACTACAGCAAGTTAAACGGCATTGTTACTTTTAGGGTCTTTGCAAAGCACATGACATGTTGAGTTGCATGATTTCGCTCATGGGAAGAGGAGATAAGGAGATATATTTAAGTGAATATTTTATTCCAAGGCGCTCCCATCTTCCAGGACAGGTCTATCTTTAGGTCCTTTTGGCTTCATATGCCAGGACCCGAGTCACTGTGCAGTGAAAATGTGAGCCCATAGGGAGAAACAATGATAAGAGAATCAGAAATACATGGGCTCTGTAAACGGAATTGTCTAGACCTATTATAAAACAGCCATGTTGGCCTGAATTTTGGTTTTCTCCCAAGACTCTACTGATGATTTATGAGTTGGGAGCTGAGCTACTGCCCTCGACATCTCATACACCAACACTGGGAATCCGATTCCTCACAGTTTTATAGCATACATTTAAAGGTAAAAAAATGAAATATATGTACTAGGATGCTCAAATATAGCTCCTCTTGTCAATTCACAGATCTGTAGGACAGGCCTTGTATATAAATCCAGGGATAGAGAGGTGAAACCCTAGATAGCATTGATGAGCCACCCAGATTTGCAAATGTTGGTCTCATCATTTAAATGAGAGGAGGAAAGCAAAAACAATTTAGTGGGCAGATAACAGGGAAACTCTATGCTGTGATGGGTAGGGTTACATTAAAGCAGAATATTAATAAGAATCACGTTATCATTTGGATAAAGTTTAAGAAAATAAACTAATGCTGTTCAAATATCATTCAATTAAGGCCTACCTGGTTGGACTCAAACTACCCAGCCAACTATACCAACAAGATGGCGCTCAGAAGCAAAATAAACTGAAGGCTTTTTCCTGCAGTGCCCCTAGAGTCAGACATGCATTGTACTTTTATTTGAGAATTGCACCCTCAGTATTTTCTCAGTAATTGTATTCCAGGATTTGCTGATCGTCAGGGTACAGCAATTGCAATGATGTTATATAGCTTTTAAAAATAATGTTGAAGGTTTAAATATTTAAACACCATGTCATAAATATATTGTTTATTATAGTAAACATATATTTTCTTTCTTCATTTTTTTTGGGGAAAACAAGGCTTTGGACAAAAAACTATTTTATCCCATCAATTTTTCAGCCTTCCCATCTCTACACTAAACTGGATTTAATAAAAACAGATTGAAATTAACATAATCTGACCTGGAACCTCCTCTGCCTCTCCGCTGTGCTGATTAATGGTCATGGCTGCACAGGTATACAATAATCACCACCAAACTGCATTACTCGCAACATTTCAAATGTATAAAAAAAGAGAGACAATTTAAGGGGTGTGAGTGTGACCAGGGGTGGGCTATTCTGAGAAATTTTAGGGAACCTACTTGCTTTAGACAATTAAAATGCAATTTAGAGGAAAAACAATGTATCTTATTTACACAGATTGATTTATGATCTCATTTATTGTAATTTAATGACACATTACTGTGAGTATATTGCTGTGGAGCTCTGTTATACATTCAGACACCAACAGTATGGATCTCCTAGAAAAGAGGGATATCAGGATAGAGAAGAGAAATATAGGGATTTGGGCCCAAAATAGGGACTGTCCCAACTAAAAGGGTACACTTGGGAGGCATGCAACTTCCTCACCTACTCAGCACACTAGGCCAGTGGCAGATAAACAGTTGTTGGACAGACAGAATTTGTGTATGCAGCATGGACACATACAATGCACAAGCGCCTAACTCCCTTCTTCAGCTCTCTAAGAGAATGCTTGAACAGCACAAAACTGGGAATGGGAGTGTATCTATTTTAGTCCATTTTAATTTTCTTTTAATGTGTGTTTTTGTTGCACATGTTATTTAATGCATTAACAACTTATTTCATAAAAAAAAAATGGGGTCACTTCCTGCATGGTATGTTCCTATAATAAGATACGATTAGGAATTACCATTCATTACAAACAAAAATCAAGTACAAACCTGGCCAGCTTATCTCTTACGTCAACCTGGTGTCGACCTCAGGTGTTATATGAATAATGCCAACGTGTCATTACTCCTGGGCAGTGAGGGAATGCAGACTGCTTTCACTATATAGCTTACCAGTAGCTACAATTATTTTTAAACTCACATTCCCCCTCTTTTCTCCTTCCAGGCTGGTGTACATAACTCTGTCCTTAAATATAAACCCTCGTAACATTTCTGTAATACACTATTTACCTTTCATCACTGCCTTAAAGAAAACCTGTCACTTGTAAAAAAAAAAAAACCCCCAAAAAACCTCTTGTCTACAAATAGAGCATAACATCTGTCTATACGTTGTCAGAAAACATTTCAAAACTGTTTTAAGAACATTTTTTTCTTTTTGACTTCCAGCATCAGTTTTAGAACCTGTAATATTACACACCTGGCTTTTCTTTTTCTGAATGGCTGTTGAATTTTAATCTGGGATTTGAGAAGCGTGAGGGTAAATGCACAAGATGACTATAAAATCACGAGAGAATAATTGGGGTCACAAAGACATAGAAAAACCACAAGGCACTGGATCACTAGGTATTGGGGGTCAAACAGAGGATAACAGATAGGGAGATTCAGCCCAAATAAAGGACAGAAGAGGCCACAAGTTTGGTGTGGCAAAAAGTAAAGGGCATTTCACACAACTGAATGAGCATGTCTGCACACTTCCAATACTAGCCCTCCTATTGTCCATAAACAATATGGTCTCGATGAATCCTATGACAACCTGATTAACTCTGTATATGTAACGGGAATATACCCCAACACGCAGGATTCAGCTAAACAGAAGACAACACAGAGGAGAGATACGTCTACCGGACCTTAGAATGGCCGGACTCGACGTATATGAGAGGAGACAGAGTCAGGAACGATCCGAAGTCAAGGGCACAGAGAGACAGCGTAAACTAGGACCAGCCGGGGTCTGGTACACAGTAAACAGCAAGCCGGCAACCAGAACAGATAAGGATAAAGAGAAAACATAGTCAGAAACAAAGCCAAAGTCAATACGAAGAAACACAAATGAACACAACAAGCGCTAAAGGGAACTGAAACAGAAACCACGATAGGGCAGGGAGTAAAGGGAGAGGTAAGTTAAAATAGCTTCTAAACTAATGTGATTGGCTCCTGTCATATCCACACCCCAAAAAGGTAAGTGTATGGGGAGTGTGGCATGACAGGGGCCAATGGGAGCCTTTTGACAATTTAGGCTCCCACTGTCTCTTTAAGAGCGCGCCCGAGACTCGTGGCGCACTCTTAGATTCAGGCGGGACACGTGATCGCTTCTCGCAGTCACTGCCCGCCTTCCTATTGAAGCCTGGCTGGAAAACGAGAATGGTAAGAACGCACAAGGCAGGGAGCGTAAACAGCATCAGCTGAAATCCAACTGCGCTCCTCAGGCCCGTAACCCTTCCAATGCACCAAGTACTGAAGTCGACCCCTAAGGTAACGAGAGTCAAGAACAGCAGAAACTTCGAATTCCTCATGACCCTCCACGGAGACAGGAGGGGGAGGCGGAGAATGCCGGGTATAGCGGTTGCGTACGTAAGGCTTCAACAACGATGTGTGAAAGACATTAGGAATACGCAGATTCCTAGGAAGACCCAGGGCATATGAAACAGGATTAACCTTATGCAGAATACGATAAGGACCTATGAAGCGGGGAGCCAATTTCATAGAAGGCACCCGTAGGCTATTATTCCGCGTGGAAAGCAAAACCCTGTCCCCCACAACATAAGAAGGAGCCGCTCTGCGATGCTTGTCAGCCTGAGCCTTCTGGCGAGCAGCGGAATCCACCAAAGAACGCTGAACTTGCTCCCAAGTATTACGCAAACCAGCCAAATGCTCATCCAGAACTGGCATGCCCTGTGAGGAGAATGCAGCCGGAAGAACAACGGGATGCTGGCCATAGACAACGTAAAAAGGGCTTTTTCCAGAAGAATCATGAGTGGCGTTATTCCGAGCAAACTCAGCCCAAGGAAGCAGGTCAGACCAATTGTCCTGATGGTGAGACACAAAACAACGAAGGTACTGCTCCAGAGATTGGTTGGCACGTTCAGCAGCTCCATTAGACTGGGGATGGTAAGCGGGAGAAAATGAGAGAGAAATACCCATTTCTGAACAAAAGGCTTTCCAGAACCTGGAAATAAATTGGCTAACCCTATCGGACACAATAGATACGGGAATACCATGTAACCAAAATACTTCTCTAGCGAAGATAAGAGCCAGTTCCTTGGATGTGGGCAACTTGCGAAGAGACACAAAGTGAGCCATCTTGGAAAACCGATCTACTATCATCAGGATGACTGTGTTACCATTCGAAGGGGGTAATTCAACAATAAAATCCATGGATAGGTTAGATCAAGGTCTCTCGGGAACGGGTAAGGGATGCAGAAGCCCACAAGGAACTCTACGTGACGTTTTCATACATGCACAAGTAGTACAAGCACTTATATAGTCAGTGACATCCTTGCGTAAGGAACCCCACCAAAAATATCGAGAAACTGCTGACATCGTTTTGGTAATACCAGGATGTCCAGTCTTAGTATCATGATATAATGACAGAATCTCCCGTCTCTCGGGAACATCAACAAACAATTTATCAATAGGCCTCTCGCTAGGTGCCATACCTTGTTTCGCCTGTATAGTTTGAAAAGGGGATGAAGAAATAGACAACATAGTAGTAGCTATTATCCTGTCTGGGGGAATGACAGGAGTAACATCAACCTCCTGTTTGTCAGTAGTTTCGAACTGTCTGGACAGAGCGTGTGCTTTAATGTTGCGATCACCTGGCCTATAGGTGATAATATAATTGAAACGGGACAAAAATAGTGACCACCTAGCCTGCCTAGAAGATAATCTTTTAGCTTCACCAAGGTAGGATAGATTCTTGTGATCCATAAAAATGAGGATAGGATCCTTAGTTCCTTCTAACAAGTGTCTCCATTCTTTAAGAGCTAAGATAATAGCAAGGAGTTCATGATTACCCACATCATAATTCCTTTCAGCTTTGGACATTTGTCTAGAAAAGAAGCCACAAGGATGCAATGGCTTTTCAGGCGATTCTCTTTGGGACAAAACAGCACCTACCCCGATATCAGAAGCATCAACTTCAAGAATATAAGACAGTGAGGGAATAGGGTGCTGTAAAATAGGTGCAGAGGCGAATGTAGTTTTAAGAAATTCGAAAGCCTGAAGTGCCTCGGGAGACCAGACACGAGTATTACCACCCTTTTTTGTCATACGAGTGATAGGCGCTACAATAGAAGAAAAACCCTTAATAAAGCGTCTATAATAGTTAGAGAAACCAAGAAAACGCTGAATTGCTTTCAAACCCTGTGGTAGGGGCCACTCTATGACAGCAGAAAGCTTCTGGGGATCCATACGAAACCCTTTGGCGGAAATCAAATACCCCAAGAACTGGACTTCGGATTGGTCAAATAAACATTTTTCTAGTTTACAATAAAGACCATTAGCAAGAAGGATCTTCAGGACCGTTGTGACATGTCTGTGATGGTTGTGTAAATCTGTAGAATATATCAGTATGTCGTCCAAGTATACAATTACAAATGTGTGAATAAAGTATCTTAGGACGTCATTAATAAATTCCTGAAATACTGCTGGGGCATTGCAAAGACCAAATGGCATAACAGTATACTCGTAATGACCGGATCTAGTGTTGAATGCAGTCTTCCATTCGTGACCTTCCTTTATACGTATTAAATTGTATGCACCTCTAAGGTCCAATTTGGTGAACACAGTAGCATGTTTCAGCCTGTCAAATAATTCTGTAATTAAAAGTATAGGGTATGCATTTTTGATAGTGATTTTATTTGGACCTCTATAATCGATGCACAGTCTTAAATCACCCTCTTTCTTAGATACGAAGAAAAACCCTGCTCCAGCCGGAGAAGAGGATCTCCTAATGAACCCCTTTTCTAGCGATTCTTTAACATACTCCTCCATGATACGGTTTTCTTGAATAGATAAAGGGTACACCCTGCCCTTTGGAGGTATAGTGCCAGGCAATAAATCGATAGCACAATCATAGGGTCTGTGAGGCGGTAATTTATCAGCTTCCCTTTTATCGAATACAGTTTTGAGAAACAAGTATTGAGGAGGTATAACAGTAGACAAAGGAGGAGTAGTAGGAACATTAATGGTATTTAAAGGGGTGACTTTAATCATACAAGAGTCGTGGCAGGTTTTGCCCCATGATTTTAATTGTCCCAATTCCCAGTCGAAAATGGGATTGTGAGAACATAACCATGGGTACCCTAACACGATATGAGAAGAGGGAGATGTGATAACCTGAAACCGAATAGTCTCAAAGTGTAAAACCCCTGTGTACATGAATAATGGTACAGTTTCATGGGTAACGACTGGAGTACTTAAAGGTCTACCATCTATGGCCTCAATGGCCAAGGGTATCTCCCTCTCTCTGATGGGAATGTTATTTTTCGTAACAAACCCAGAGTCAATGAAGTTCTCAGCAGCCCCGGAATCAACCAAGGCTAGTATGCTTTCAGCTATACAACTCTCTCCCGTATGAAGGGAAACAGGGAGAATCAAACGGTTAGGAGGCAATTTAGGAGACTTAGATATCACACCCAAGGCCAGTCCCCTATAAGGTCGTAGGTGCGAGAGTTTTCTGGAAGCAAAGGACATTCTTTTACCATATGGTCTCGCCCACCACAGTATAGTCCCTTCTTCTAAGTAATTTTTCAGTATCCGAGAGTTTGGCAACCCCTAATTGCATGGGTTCCTCCTCGGATATTTTAACACTCTCAGGTTTATCAACTCTGGGGTTAGTAGGTGTGACCAAACGTCTATTCCTGTTCTTAGTATAGAGCCTGTCACGAATCCTATTATCTATATCAATGAGGTAGTCAATAAGGTCCTCTAATTGAATAGGAAGCTCCCTTGCCGCTACCTCATCTAATATAGTGTCAGATAAACCTTCCATGAACGCAGTAGTTAACCCATTATTGGTCCAATCTACCTGTGAGGCAAGGGTACGAAACTGAATAGCATAATCAGCCACAGACCTAAAACCCTGTTTAATTCTCATTAATGCTCTTGCGGCATTCTTTGACCTTTTTGTTGTGTCAAAAGTTCTACGAAAAGCCGTAAGAAAGCTATTGAAATTATGCACCATAGGTCCATTGGCCTCCCAAATAGGATTTACCCACTCAAGTGTTTGTCAGTAAGTTGATGCATCAAAAACCCCACTTTAGACCTATCAGTGGGAAAGGAACGTGGATACATCTCAAGGTGGAATTCTATTTGATTAATAAAACCTCTGCATGTCTTAGCTTCCCCTCCATACCTAGGAGGGGGTGTTAAATGGGGCGAAGCATTAGGTGAATTGGATACTTCGGGAAGAAGAGGTGTAGGAGGGTTAGGTGCGGTTGCAGGAATAGTTCTAGACAAGAGCGTCTGGAGAGCCTGTCCTATCTGATCCATACGGTGATCCTGCTCTACAAACCTTGCCTCATGAGAAGCCATTTGCTGAGCCAAATCTGCGGGGTCCATGGCCCTATCGTAATGTAACGAAAATATACCCCAACACGCAGGATTCAGCTAAACAGAAGACAACACAGAGGAGAGATACGTCTACTGGACCTTAGAATGGCCCGACTCGACGTATATGAGAGGAGACAGAGTTAGGAACGATCCGAAGTCAAGGGCACAGAGAGACAGCGTAAACTAGGACTAGCCGGGGTCTGGTACACAGTAAACAGCAAGCCGGCAACCAGAACAGATAAGGATAAAGAGAAAACGTAGTCAGAAACAAAGCCAAAGTCAAGTACGAAGGAACACAACTGAACACAACAAGCGCTAAAGGGAACTGAAACAGAAACCACGATAGGGCAGTTAGTAAAGGGAGAGGTAAGTTTAAATAGCTTCTAAACTAATGTGATTGGCTCCTGTCATATCCACCCCCCCAAAAGGTAAGTGTATGGGGAGTGTGGCATGACAGGGGCCAATGGGAGCCTTTTGACAATTTAGGCTCCCACTGTCTCTTTAAGAGCGCGCCCGAGACTCGCGGCGCGCTCTTAGATTCAGGCGGGACACGTGATCGCTTCTCGCAGTCACTGCCTGCCTTCCTATTGAGGCCGTCGGATGAGCCGCGCGCGGCTCGAAGAGAGGACCGCGGCCGGCCCCTGGATAAGGTAAGTAACGCTACAGTATACTTTTGCACATCAAGTATTGAACTCAAAGGACACCATGTTTGCTTGGCAATCTGGTCACCTTCTATATACGAGACTATCTTTATGAGAAATGTGTAATCTGAGAAGGGCTATGGATTATGTCTAGTTTGGCCAATAACTACATACAATAAGTACTTGAGAAGCTATTATCAAGAACTTGGATCATGGTTGGCCCAAGCTGTTTGGATGGTGATGAACCACTCAGTAAGACATACTCAAAGTGTTTCTACTCCACATCTTTCAGAAGGCCATATCACCCCTACCCAACCATTGGTGATGCAACATCCTGCAGAGACTTTATAAACTACTGGTCTATACACTTTGAAATGATGCCAACTTGCTTCTCTCTGAGTACTATAAACATGTTTCAGAGACAGAGCCCTGGCCTGTGCTCCACCTTTGTATGATTGCATTTCTCTTCTAATGAATTACTGTTATAGGCCAACATTGGTTCTCTGGCATATATTTGGGTGCATTGTGACTATAGCTTCTCAATGAATGAACTAATGAAAATGTTCTGTGACATGGTGACCAAGGTTAATTGGAACAATTATACTTTCGTTGCTGCCTTTTATAACAGTCTGTCAAAGAGGCTCAAAGATGAGCTGAGAGCAAGAGACTTCCCCACCGATCTAGAGACATGTATTGACCATGTGGGCCATATTGAGCTTTTGGTTACATAAGAGAAGTGCACAAAGAGAGAATCACTAGGAACCTATGATGTGTTTGACTCCCCAATACTAAAGGAATCCTCAGCAAGGTCCAAGCTGCCACCTAACCAAAAGCTAAGGATAAGGCAAATGCAAAGCCAATGAATAGTCATGGACTGGTACACCGGTACTACTGAAACAAGGGACAAGACAAAGTCAGGGTCAAATCAAGATGGGTCTGGTACACAGCAACAAGACCAGTAGAAAGGTATAGGCAAAATCAAGGTCCGAAACCAGCAAGGGTTTCACTGTTTCACTGGAAATACGGTAGCTAACGGGAGCCAAATAATGCACTGAAGGGCCAGGAAATGACAAAATGGCACTGGTCTAAAGTTTCTACATTTTAAATAGCCCTGAGCCCTTTGTGTGAATTTAGTGCCATTGATGCATTTGCATGCGTCACACATAACCTCAAGATAGAAAACTGTAAAAAGGCGCAAAGGTCATAGTTTGTGTCATTTAAATCTAATAACTGTGAGTTATGTGTGTTGCTGGCTATATGTGGGTAGCTGTGGGTGGCTTTGTGTTGCTAGGGAGGGTTATGTTCCTGATGACCCGGTGGAGGCTGTGATATGGTCCAGTTGGCTGAGCCTCCAGTCTGCACCTCTAGCGGGTGCAGGTCACTGTAAAAGTTCTTTCCGTTCTGGCACCAGGAGGAGCACACACAGCCAAGGTTGAGGTCATCAGCTCCCTTGGCCATGGCCAGGGCTGTCAGGGAGACAAGTTTCAGTGGCATTCAGATGTGCCATGCCTGGGTACACCTAGCACCCACCTGTAATCCCATGCTTTGCTGGGAATTATGAGGAGCTCCGGTATAATCCCCTCTTCAGTCCCTCCCTAGAGAGATTGGCAATTGTATTTTTATGACTTTATTATCATATCCCACGTAGAGTCTCCACTAACTTCAGAATAAACTAGAGGCCATGTTATTGTTAAGACACAGAATAAATGGACACCGATTGTAAGTAAATTCCAGCAGAATCAACATAAATATAGGAACTAAGGAGGTTAAGTGTATTCTTAAGAGCTAAAAAAATAATGTGGGGACAAAATCGAATATGCGAAGCAATCATTGTGTTTCAGTAGCATTCAGAACCAATTTAATTACCCTGCTGATTTGTCCATTTTTAGAATTCTGAAAAACAAAACAATTACAGTGATTAATTTACAGTGACTTTTTAAATTCAACTGATCCTATATCATTTTCTTTGCTGCATTACTCACAGGCCTAAACCAGCGTGCTTTTCTGGTAAGTGATCTCATTCTTGTAGCGTGGTGACTTTGTAGGCTGGAGTCACCCATCCTTTATGAACGCATTAAGGAGATAATGAAAAA